GCACGCCCACGTGTGGAGCTTGAAGCCTGCGTCCGCCGCGTACGCGTCGAGGCACTCGCCGTTGCTCTGCACCGCGAGCGTGCCAGACGCTTGGTCGTAGACGAACTGTTCGTTCTTGTTGCCCTTGGGCGTGTCCTGGTACAGACCCCGGTAGTACTCGGAGAGAACGCGGTTTGAGATCGAGCAGAACGAGATCGTGTTGGCCGGCACCGGCGGCTGGGTTGTCGGCGACTGGGTCGTCGGTGGGTACGTCGGCGCGTCGCTGGTCGCGGTCGCAGTCGCGTCCTTGGGCAGCGGAATGTTCTTGGACTTGAGAAAGTCGACGATACGGTCCATCTTGATGCCGCCGTTGTTGCAGCCGCCGCAGTTGTGGAGGGCGACGACAGCGTTGTCTTTAGTACTGAGCATCGGCGAGCCGGACGACCCGCCTTGCGTGTCGAGCTGATGGCCGACGTAGTCGTTCTCGGGAATTTCGTTGTAGCAACTCCCGCTGCTCAAGTCGGTGATCTTGCCGGGCGCGCCGTCGTCGTCCACAAGCGCCATATGCTGCGGGTTACCCTTCGGGTGCTGCGGGATGTAGATCTCTTCGTTGAGGATCGGGCCGGACGGGCGCACCTTAAGGTAGCCGTACTGCTTAAGGTTCGCGCCCTCCTTGAGATTGAGTTTGACGAGCGCAAAGTCGTTCTTCTGGTCCGAGACAATAAACTCGACGTCAGTCGCGACGATCTCGCCCTTGCAGCCGCGCTGCACGGTGTTGTTCGCGTCGTCGCACGTCGCGCACTTAGCGGCAAACTCGACCTGGACGTTCTTGGCCTTGGTAGCGTCTTGAATGCAGTGCCAGTTGGTCATCATATGACCTTCCGAGCCAATGAGCCAGCCCGTGCAGAGCGACCGGCCGTTGATGAGGAGGCGCGCGACGGCCTTGCTCGTCTCAAACTTGGTTTTTTCACTCTCCGCATAGCACTGCGACGGCTTGGAGTTGTCGGTGCCGCAGATGGACTCGAGGAGGTTCTTGGAGCCGCCCGTGCCAGAGATGAACTTGTCGACGACAAAGATGCTGCCGCTTGATGCCTTTTCGTACGACGGCGCCGAGTACGTGAGGACGACGCGGTCGGCGTCGATCGTCGTCGTGAAGAGGTCGTCGTGCTTGCCGCTGTACGACACCTTCTTGCTGCCGTCGAGGGACGTGATCGTGATCGACGCGCCGTCCGGAAGGTTCATCGAGGAAAAGTGGACCGAGATGTACGTGGCGCCCGCCCGCTCGATGATCTGGCTCACGGGCTTGGCGCCGTCGGCGCTGAGCGCGAGCGCATTGTCGGCGCCAATGTCGAGCGGGACAGGCGACGCCATGGCAGCGACAAGGAGCGCGCTCGTGAGTTTCGCCAATCGCATCATACTGCTGAGTTGCTGCTGCTTGGCGTGTACCAACGGAAAAGGTAAAGTGAGCGACGGAAAGGACGCGCTGCGGGACACGCGCGATCGGCGAGAGCGTTACTGCCTCTGCAACATGTGTTTTTGTACACTTCACTGGCGCTTTCTGAGTTGCCGACGTCGGGCCAGATGGGCCGCCGTCTTGCCAGGACGAGCGCGGTGTGGCAGAGGTGGGAAGTAGACAATATACGACCGACGCCGACGACCATGCAGACTTTCCGCGTCGCGAACGTGGTGCGATTTATTGTGGGTCGAGAATACTGCATCCTGGATACCTCTCAGAGTATGTACCATTACCAGGTGGGTGCGCAGAACGCTGATGCAGCGCGTGCAACCTGATCGAACGTCGCCGGCTCTTGGCCAAAGTGACAGCCTATTTGTTCCCACGTGTACGCAGTTTCTCCTCGCATACTAGTCTCAGCTCGAAGTGGCACTCGAGTGCTCTTTTGTTCGACTACATTCAAGACATCTTGGTGCGAGATGCTGCGAGGAGGCAGAGCTCGCGCGTAGAGGCGTCGTGACGACCGTACATTCGGCCGCGTTGCAGAACATTGCCGCGCGTCTTATGGCTTCCGTGTTTGACGCTGTGACAACGAGGCCGCGACGACCAGACTTGCTCGGACGCAGATGCGTCGTCTTCGTGGATACCAGTCCTCAATCCGGTTTCCAGACTGCAATGCGTCGCATGGCGGGATCACCAAAATCACCCACAGACTACCTGAGAGACGACAACCTCCAAGCGGCTCGAATCAGCCTCCCGGCTCCCTCCACGTGAGGAAGCTGCTGCGAACCATGAAGCAAGATACATCGCTGGCTAGCCTGGCCACGCACGACGTTGTTGATGGCGCTTCCGACGACGTCTGCTGCACGGTTACAAGCGAAGTTGTAAATAATACAGGCGCGATGCAAGAGACGCCAGGAGGAGCGTTCGCATGGGAGGCCAAGGTTGTCCCAAAGTCCAACACTCGTCCAGCCAGCGTCGACGACCAGCAGGCGGCCAACCACGCACTCCGACACCACTGCAGTGCATATTTACCGGTATATTACAGCCATGGACTCAGAGTCATCCTTGACTGGAGCCATCGAAGGCTGCGAGCGCCCGACGCGTCACCAAAAGTGTAGCTCGTTGCGGCGTCTCTGCCAAGCCATGCGCCGTCAGCTCCTGGTCAGCTCCTGCGTCCGTGGGTGCGTCATTCGCAGCTGTCGTCGGTGCCGACGTCGGCCTTTCTGTCAAGCAGCGTATGTCACGTGCTTCTTGAAAAAGGTGTAATGGCCGTACCACGGATCCTGCCACCACGCTGCTGGCAGCCACTGCGAATGCTTGGGGAGAAACCGAGCGCGAAGATGATACTCGGTGGTCAATGGCCGCTCAGATCGAGCGACCGATCCCTGCATCCGTCGGTGGGCTGAGAACGGCGGCGCGTCAGAGCCCTCGCGACCACCGTTCCTTTTGCATTTTGGATTTTGCGCACGTCGTGCAGTCGCTCCTCATGGCACCGCTGCTGCAAGTGCTTCTGAGTCTTCTCTCGGCCGCCGTCTCGGCGCAGACGGCGCTGCGGTTCAGCACGCCCGTGCCCATCGCGCTCACGCTCCACGGCAGCGGTCCCGTGACGCAGGTGCTCTCGAGCGACCGCGCGACGTCGCTCTCAGTGCACATTGCGTCCATGCACCTCCCGCCCGGCGCGACGCTGACCATCGGCACGGAGGATGGCCGCGACAAGGTCGTGTACTCGGGCGATCTCCGCGACGTCTACTCGGCGGTCTTTACGCAGCCGCGGATCCTCCTCAACTACACGTCGCCAACGTATTCTATGAACAGCAGTGCGCCGATTGTGACGATTGACACGTACTTTGCGGGCGGCGCTGGCGGTGGCACCGAGGCCATCTGCACGTCGACGGGCGATGCGTCCAAGCCAGCCG